GTACGTGCGGGGTCGGCAGCACGCTGGACGCCTGACATGCACACAGCACATGCAGAAATGAGGACATGCAGAAGTTTAATGCAAACAAAACTTTATTTGTATCATGCAGAGCACGGAACAAGGGCAGAAAGGGAAAGTGTTATGTGCTTACTATGGATTAAAGCCTCCAATTGGGATTGCATGAGCACCTGTCATGTGACTTAATGTATGTAGAGGAGGCTGTGTGCATACAGAGGAGGCTGTGTGCATACAGAGGAGGCTGTGTGCATACAGAGGAGGCTGTGTGGATACAGAGGAGGCTGTGTGGATACAGAGGAGGCTGTGTGCATACATGAGGAGGCTGTGTGCAAACAGAGGAGGCTGTGTGCAAACAGAGGAGGCTGTGTGCATACAGAGGAGGCTGTGTGCATACAGAGGAGGCTGTGTGCAAACAGAGGAGTCTGTGTGCATACAGAGGAGGCTGTGTGCATACCGAGAGGAGGCTGTGTGCATACCGAGAGGAGAATGATGTTTTGTCAGAGGCTTAAAAGGCATTATACATTTAAAAAAAAAGCAAGCTACCCAATCCAACCGAACACTTTATATATTATAAACTTGCTCTATAAGAGTCTAATAGGCTGATGAGGACAAAGCAGACACTTCCTTGAATTCTCCATACTGGGATTTGCAAACGCTGACCGACTCCTGCAATATGCTAAATGTCCACATAAACAGGAGCTGGTATCAATCGCCAATAGCTGTGCTGGTGAGGAGAACAGCAAACGCAAGCAGCCGAAACTCACAAACTGTTCAGCCAGTTTTGTGATTCACACTCCCAGGCACACCGCATACTCTGGAGGTGACCGCGCCGTTCCGTACCTGCACTCCACTTTAGCATTCATTCTTTGTTACCTACTTAAGCTCAGCCCCTTGAATGACCATCAAACCACATTGATTAAGGCTCTTTCGCCTAAACTACTAATCTCAATGCCTAAAACAGGGGAAGGCAACTTCGGCACTCCAACTGTGCTGAAACTAAAAATCCCATCATGCTTTTGCCTCTTGGTGTCATGAATGTGGCTGTCAGTCTTGCAATGCCTCATGGGATTTGTAGTTTCACCACAGCTGGACTGCTGCCTACTCCTAAAACATGTTAGGATGACGGCAAGAGAACATGAAGGATCACCTACTTGGCCTGATTTATATTGTACGCAGGGGACTCTGTGAAGTCAACATAAAGAAAGATTTGGGGTAGCTATATTAGCGCTATTTAAAGGGTACATACACTTGTAGATAAACCCCCCTTCCCACCCTTTGCAGCCCCCCAGGAAAACATACCAGCTTGCCACATACCCCACGCCTACAGCTCAGCCTAGGTGAGCAATTCTATTGAGAGTTCAAAGCTAGTGAACCTTCCAACTGATCCATCACTAGGATGGCCTGCGTCTATAACCATCAGGAAAGTGTGGGGGGTGAGAGGAGCTGGGAAAGCTTTGGAACAATCAGGAGGTGCCAAAGCAGTCCCCAAATAGAATGGCCCTGGCAGAGTGGGCATTCGAGCAGAGCAGGGAGCCAAGTGCCCACAAACTTATTTTTGGGGGGTCATTAAAAGTAAAAGAGCTTAAAGCAGGGGTGGGCAACACCGGCCCTCCAGCTGTTCTTTAACTACAAATCCCAAAATGCCTCTGGGAGTCATGCCTGTAATGGTCAGTCTTGCCATGCCTCATGGGACTTGCCCAACCCTGCTAAAAGCCCTCCATGTGAAGTGGAACTACAACTTCCATCATTCAGAGAGTCTAACAGACCATGCTTATAGCGCCATAGCAGCCGCAGGGCTGAAGCTTGCCCGTGGCCGTTCTCGAGGCCGCTACCCTTTGTGACATCTGATTTTCCTAATCGGAACCAAGCGCTCTTTTGCCAGCTGTAGTCGGGCTTTGCATCACAGCTGCTATTGATCTGCACACGGTCTGCGGCTTGGCAGCTCGCCTGTCAGAATTCTCACATAAACAAGGGCGCTGCGAACGGTCAGCTCAGTGCTCGCTCTCAGAGAAGCGGGGAGTAAAAGCCTTCCAAGCTGAATGCTCAACAGGCAAATTTCCATGGAAAATCACTGACGTCTGTGTACCCCAGTTATGAGCGAGGCCTTTCCTGCTATTAATAGATCTCTGGAACAGCTGGAAGGCTTCAGTCTCAGCACCTGGATTGCAGTTATTCCTACGCTGCGTCCGGAGCTGGCCTTCGCTGTTCTCCCGGCCTGTCAATGCAAAGTCGAACAAGCTTCTAAGTCTGAGCATGTGAGGAATAAAATGATCGTCTGTGTACACTATATTGACAAAAGTATTGGGACACCTATCCAAATCATTGGATTCACGTGTTCCAATCCCATCCATGGCCACAGGTGTATAAAATACCGCAACTCGGCATGCAGACGCTTCTACAAACATTTGTGAAAGAATGGGTCGCTCTCAGTGACTACAAGCGTGGTACAGTGATAGGTTGCCACCTGTGTAATAAGTCAGATTGGCACAACAACAAAGGGCGGAGCAAACTCAATATTGAACCCTGCGGACTAAGACTGGGATGCCAACACAATGATAGTGAATATAATGTTGATTATGTGGCTTCTAGCACTGACTGCACTTCATGAGTTCATCTTGAAGCAAAGCATTCTGCAGCAACACAACCAATGCGACACACAGAGGCATGGAACACTCCGGAGACAAGTCACCCAACACGCAGGAGGAGATTCCACAAACGGCAATGCATCTCATTCACACAATATGAACTGAACACAGGTCCAGGTGTGGGTTTCCTACCTTCACACCGTCGTTGTAGCAGTCTGCGGGACTATTCAGACCAGCCAGGTTACCGACATGGCTCGGAGCGCCCGGCCGGGGGGGCTTCTTTGGTGGAGCGGAGTGATCTAGACAACAAAATACCATTATATTTGAGGTCACGTCAGACGCATCATTTATTTGCAGTAATTCTACCCCGTTGTCCCAAATTCTACAGGTTCACCTTATTAGGTGCTGGGCCCACCCTGCTCGACTTCTGATGGGCAAACGATGAAACAAGTCTGAGGACTCCTTGTGATTATTGGCCATGTAAAGGGTGATGATGAAAGTATTTATATGCAAACATTTCCTGTTATTGCTTGCACATATAACAAGGAGATTCCCCCTCACTTCCTGTCCCAGTGACCATCTGTCACATCCTGACACATGGTGTCCCCCAGGTGAGGAAGTGACAGGGAAATTTCCCAGTGGTGACACAGACAGTAAAAAAACAAAGGTTCTAAGTCTCCAATCACAATATGGCATTGCTTTATTGTACATTAAATGCGTTGCCATTCGTTCTTTATGTCACCCCAACACACTTTATGGCGGATGTGCGCCTCAACCCATGTCTGTGGCAAAGTGCATTGGGGTGCCATTCAGAACACATGGCCGTTGTTGTGAATGAGCCCTAAACCTTCCCCACTAGATCCAAAATTAAATAAATTGACTGGAATTGTGTTGTATTGAAGTTGATCAACTCCTACACATAGGAAGGGCCCATTCACACCGGAGTGTTGCGTTAATTGCACGTCACCGTGAACAGCGCACTCTATCGCATACCTATCATGTGGTATCGTGCACTAGGTGAGTTTTCATTCATTCCACGGACACACCAATGCACCAGTGGCCGTGTGGTACTGCAATACTGTGCACTGTGGTGAGAAAAAGTAGGGCATGCACTATTGGAATTTTACCATGCTGCAATGCATGGTACCACAGTATGGCACGCTGCAATGCATGGTACCACAGTACGGCACGCTGCAAAGCATGGTACCACAGTACGGCATGCTGCAATGCATGGTATCGCAGTACGGCATGCTGCAATGCATGGTATCACAGTACGGCACGCTGCAATGCATGGTATTGCAGTACGGCATGCTGCAATGCATGGTACCACAGTACGGCACGCTGCAATGCATGGTATCGCAGTACGGCACGCTGCAATGCATGGTATCGCAGTACGGCACGCTGCAATGCATGGTATCGCAGTACGGCACGCTGCAATGCATGGTATCGCAGTACGGCACGCTGCAATGCACAGCTGGCAGGACGTGATGGGGTGCTACTGAAATGAATGGCCATGGACCTAGTGTATGATAGCACGTGCTAGGTGTGCTATGCGATAGCGTGCTATTAGCATAGCGTCTCCGGTGTGAATGGGCCCCAAATCAACCAAAGAAAAAAACTAAAAAGAATGATCGTTCCTTTAGAGAAGAGCAGTTACTTTGTTACTATAGAAAGAGAACGCCCTGGAAGGGAAAAAACTATCAACACAAAATAAAAAAAGGTAGTAACTGGTATAAAAGTGATTGATGAGAGATATTTGAAGAGTGACAGGACCTCTTTGAGGGAACAATGATTTTATGGCCTGTATATCTTATGCTCACCTTGTTTCCCGACAGGTTGATAGATGTGCTGGTTCCCGGCCTGCAATGACAAGGAGACAGAGAGTTCCCATCAGGATTCTGGATCAGGGACAGCAACATGCGCACACAAAACTCTGCCGGATGCAAACCGCGAGCCAGAACCAGAGCCAGTATTTAAAGGCACGCATTGTGAATCACTGCTGCAAGGTTTACCTGTTATTTTGGTAATATTTTTTACGTCAGTGTATATGAGAAAGTTTAAAGCAATCTGCTGATATTTTACTTTCCCTGGTTGTTCCCCCCGCCCCCCCCTTCCTGAAAACAACACAGCACCCTGCCTCAGCACTCCTTTGAAGAGCCCCCCGCTCTGATGCAAGCAGTGGGCTGGCTCTTGGGGGGAGTTATGAAAATATCAAAGTGCTGTGTTGGGTGTGTATCAGTGGGCGTTCCTAGGTAGACTGCGCTTGCATGAAGACCGCCCAAGGTAAAGCCCACATGTGATGGTGTGTGTGTGTGTGTGTGCGTATTAGGCCCCATTCACACCTGTACTCATATCACACACGATTACTTGTGGTGTGCAGGCGTTTACATGCAGCCGCTGCCACCTGATCATTGACATGAATGGGTGACAGCTGCCATTTGCAAATGCCAGATTAGGGATACCTGCTGCAGGAAAATGACAATTCCTGATGCAGGAATCCCTAATCTCACCTAAACGAGGTGTGAATGGGGCCTTATTGTGTGTGTATTTCTGGTTGTCTCTGTCTACGTATTTCTGTGTGTTTTTTCCTTTAATCACGTCAGAGGTGATAGAGAATTCATAGGATCTATTTAATAGGCTGACAAGCTGTCAGTAAGCAATTTGCTGCCTATGAAATAAATCCATGTGCATCACCTGCAGCTCCACGGTGACTAAAGGCTTTACCGCTGCATGTAAAAGATGCCGATGCCTCCATGCAGCGCCACAGCAAGGAGTAGAGGGCTGGCACTGTGAGATAAAAGTGCCAATGGTGCCTCTGTACCGGCTGCGCTGTCTGGCAGAGAAATATGATCCAAAAAAACCCAGCAGCCAGACAGAATTATAAACTCTTTTGTCAGATAAGTCATACGTGTATTTAGCAAATTCAGCTTTTCATAGGTAACCCCGCTCATTATTAGGTTCTCTATGTGTCCCCAGCCTTAGAAACAAGAGAGCAGAAGGCGGCCTGCCAGTGTTTTATCCTCCAGTGCAGTGACCCCTCCAGCTGCCTCCATTCTATCCCCTGTTTACATTTATAGGCGGCTGGTATTCAGTCTCAAGGCTGAGAAGTATAAAGTGCGATCCAGTACAAAAAAACAAAAAATAAATGTGCTTTGGCTGCGGCAATGACAAGATCTCTGCGGCTGGAGCATTTTATGCTGGGACGAGGGGAGGGGAAGGGGGGCCGCTGGAATTTTGCTGTCATCTTATCTAAACCTCAGACTCATCCAAGTTCCCTTTCATGGTCTTCCAACCACAGGCATCCACAGAGAGGTCTCCCTCATCCGCGCTCCGTCTCAGGAATCGGGAGGTCGAGGATTTCACGGGACAGGAATGGAATCTGGAAAATATTTGTCTGTCGCTATGCTCCAAAGGCAGGCTAGAAACGACGCAATGTTTTTTACGTGTCCCGCCATGTCTACCGGCTCAGGGACAGGCTCGGAGACGGAGCGTGGTCCGCCAGCGGACTGGGCAAAGAAGGGATGCCGAAAAATAAAAACTGAGAATTATAATTCTGGAAACTGGTCCCCTTCTCAAACAAATATAACGTTTCCCAGTGTGGGAAGTTATGAGAATGCCGAGTGCCTAGCTGTTTTCCGGTTCAGTACTTTGAGTACGACGTGCTCCGACTTCACCAGCTGAGACCATGGAGAGCCAGGCAAAGGTCACTTTTGGAATGAGGGGGGCAATAGTGATGTGCGTGGCCTTGGTGCGAACAGAGCCTACGTGAGAGCGCGCAAAACTGTCGTTACACATCCCCCTCCTGGCCCAATCAGCTGCGGCCAGGGCATTCCCCTTCCCTTTGTTATGCATAGCTGTGGGATGGGAGGTGCACCGACCGTAGCCGTTTGGTCCAGGAGGGTGGGGACGGGGGGCAGTGGATGCCATAGATGGCTTTGCACAGGCTCAGGTGAAATTGGTTTGCACAAAGTTCACGCACATCCCTAGTCAGCAATGGCAGCCCGTTTCTCCCAGTACAATGCATTAGGGGAAGGTGGGTTGTTATATATTGCAGTCATTGGGAGGTGGGAAACCTCAGGAGGAACCTTACAATCATTTTCAGGTCTCAGGGAACCCCTACTACAATGACGTCACTGGGGTTAGTGGCCCCAATGACTATAGTGGTCACAATGCCACCCTTCCAGACAGCTCATTGGTGTCTCCCTGCTGGCTCTGCCGAAAGGGGCGTTGGACTTAGGACTGTCCAGGCACCATCAGATGGGAGGTCAATCAGCCACAGCTCAGGGAACAATGGTTGAGAATGGCTACATTAGAATGATCACAATCTATGCTGAAAAGCAGCTGGAAACCAGGTGTGTTCTTTTGAAGAGAACCAGTCACCCCTTGCAGCAGAAACCTTACTAACATTGCCAGTGAATGGCACAGTGTTTATTAGCTCATGGCTGTGACTGGCTGAACAGAATCACAAACAAACCACTAAGCAAACCAGTCCACACATTTGCATTTTCAGTTGTTTGGAAGGAGTTCAGTTTTAAGATACAACTATCAGAAATGTAAACTTGCTGAAGGGGACTTACACCTTCTAATGCCCTGAGCTCCCCAAGAGGCCCAAGTCTTAGGAAAGGCTTGTATGCAAATTTCTATCTTCCACTCAGGACCACCCATCGTAGTCATGAGCTAGTAGAAAGATGCAGGAGGCAAGATCAGAGGCTCCTAAGTGCATGAGGCATATCCTGGACCAGGGGTGGGCAACTTTATCAATTATAGAGGGACTCAAATGTAGCCTCTGACATCGCTAAACGTTCAGTGAATGTTAGGATACAGAAAGCACTGAGAGACAACTGGACTGCCAAACGAGATGGTCAGAGACTGCAGAAATACTTCAGGATATGGTCAGAGACTGCAGACATACTACAGGAGATGGTCAGAGACTGCAGACATACTTCAGGAGATGGCCTGAAACTAAAGACATACAAGAGGAGATGGTCAGAGACTGCAGACATACTACAGGAGATGGCCTGAGACTAAAGACATACTACAGGCGATGGTCGGAGACTGCAGGCATACTACAGTGGATGGTCAGAGACTAAAGACATACAACAGGGGATGGTCAAAGACTGCAAACATACTACAGGGGATGGTCAGAGACTGCAAACACGATGCAATATATTTTATAGATATGCCAAAATGATGTAATATGTAGGGATATCTAAAAAAAACCTTTAATTTGTGTGGCAGGCCGCAACTACTGCAAATGTTATAGGAATGCTGCTGCTGATGATCGCACAGTGGGGGGGGGGCAGCCAGGGTGACAATCAACGTAATGAGGCAAACTGCCCACCATTAAAGGAGCTCACACTGACCACCAATGTAAAGGGCAGAAAGAGCAATGACCACCAATTTAGGGGGCACACTGAGCACCGAAAGCAAATTTAAGGGGCACACTGAGCACTGACTGCCAATGGGAGGGGACACAAAGCACTGACTGCCAATGGGAGGGGACACAAAGCACTAGCCACCTATGTATAGGGGCACTCAGCACAAACCCCCAATGTAAGGGGGCACAATGACCACCAAAGTAAAGGGGCACAATGACCACAACCACCAATGTAAGTGGACACAATGACCACCAACCACCAATGTAAGGGGGCACAATGACCACCAACCACCAATGTAAGGGGGCACAATGACCACCAATGTGAAGGGGCACAATGACCACCAACCACCAATGTAAGGGGGCACAATGACCACCAAAGTAAAGGGGCACAATGACCACAACCACCAATGTAAGGGGGCACAATGACCACAACCACCAATGTAAGGGGGCACAATGACCACCAACCACCAAAGGGGCACAATGACCACCAATGTAGGGGGCATACTGACCATCAATGAAAGGGGATGCACTGACTACCATTGTCAGGTGATGCACTGAATACTGACCACCGATGTAAAGGGCACACTAAGCATGGACCGCTAATGTAAGGTGATGCACTAACCACAATTACAAGAGGGCACACTGGGCACCGGCAGAACAAGGCACTCTGAGCATCAAGGAGCAGCCAATGTTGTAAATGATACAGTGCGGACCTCTTCACTCTATACGCTATGGTTCTTCCTTACAAAATGATAAAGACCACAGAGTCCTGACTGCTATACTCTAAACACTATGTTTTAGGTTACATAGTCCAGACTGCTGCATCACATGATCTTTTGTATGTTACACAGTCTTGACCATTGCACTATATGCGCCATGTTGTACATTATATAGTCCTGATCACTCACTCCTTATGAAACGTTGTATGTTACATAGTCGTGACCGCTATGATCCATACAAGGGGAGGGGAAGCTCAGCACTCCAGCTGTTGTAGAACTACAAGTCCCATGATGCATTGCAAGACTCTGAGAGCCAAAGGCATGACTCCCAGAGGCAGAGTCATGATGGGGTTTGTAGTAGCCGCACAGCTGGAGTGCCAAGGTTGATTACCACTGCTCTATACACTAGACAGCATATAGAGTGCAGTGGTCAGAAGTACTGACCACTACACTTTTTATACAATGCTGTACACTATACCGCTGCACTCTACACTGTATGTTTGCCATTACATAGTTCTGTCCACTTGCACGCTATACACTGTAATGTTGTACATTACATACACCTTACCACGTGTTGCTGGTTGCATAGCAGATCCCTACTATTTGAATGTGGAGTTCCTCTTTAAGGTAGGATCACACATAGAGTTCGCCCTGCTTCGTATAATGCAGAATTGCATTTCTTAGTGTGCCCCAGCTCTTACACGATCCTAGCAATGCCCCTGCTAACAGTCCCGCTTATAGCAAACGTTGTGGCGGTAAACAGGTTGCTTCAGAGTGGTCTGTATTAAAAAAATCTATTGCTGTTTTTTTAGAGTCAAAACAGAACAGTAAGATGGTCCACACCACCGTGCCTAATCATCCATTACAGAGCCACAACCTATGGCCACTCACCGAGGGGGTAAAAGGCTAATTTACACAGTGGCACATTAAGGCCCCGTTCACACCGGGGCGGTTCGGCCACGTGGATCCGCCGACATGAACGACTCCATACATTGCTATGGGGACCGTTCATGCGACTGCGCGTGTCTAAACTGCCTCCCACCTCAAATTGCTCCCTGAGCTTTTTTTTTTTCTGCGATGATCAGCACGGTTTCAATACAGCTTTCAATGGAGTTGCTCTGAAGCGCAGTTCAAAATACCTGGAACCACCTTTATAAAAATCACGCGCTGATCTGCACCCGCCCTGGTGTGAATGGGGCCTTAAATTCGCTGCAAAATAGCTGTGCTAGTGGTAAATGTGGCAAGCGAGACAATTTGGGCCATGTGGTATTTTCAGTTTGCTTCATTAAGCGTAGCATACGTCAGCAACGAGATCTGTGTGGTGGGAAGGGGCCCATAGCATGTATAGGAGTTTATTATTAGATGAGTATCCAGATCCTGACACCTCCACAGTTCAAAGGAAATGCAATGGCAACACCCAAGAAACCGCAAACAACCACAGCTAAGAACCACGAGCAAAAGCTGCAGTAACATGATGAAAGCTCTATTAGTCACATTATAGACGGGACGATGTACATGTCCACCAGGAAGAGACCTAGATAATAATAGACTCTGTCTGTTAGCTGGCTCGGAGGCTGTGAAACCAACCAGCTACTCAGTTGTAGCGCATATTAGGCTTTTCTGCACTCAGTATGACAAACTGGGGCATCAAGCACACCTCTAAAGGGGACCTTTACCCCTTTCACTAAAAATCACATCAGTATGCAGCTCTGCATGCGGATATGAAATCTTACAATCATTAGTTAAACAAACATAGCTTTATGTTGTTTACAATGAGTGTTTTTCCACTTCCTGGTCCTCTTTGGCAAAAAAGATGTAATGTGCCCGAGCGTTGCACCCTGGGAAGGTTACATCAGCAGAGCATTGCTGGAAAATCTCATCGGTAATCTCACGGAAAGGCATTTTCCTCCCCTGAGATGATGTGCATGGTCACATGTCCTAGTCACATGTGCCAGGGTTCCAGGAAGCTAAGGGAGATGTATTAATCTGCCCTTAGTAAAAATGGCCGCTGTGAGAATATTGTGTAGGAAAAGAGAAACAAGGTATGCAAAGAATACAAAGCCGCCAATTATCTAGAAGTATGTGATTGTAGATTGTCATTACCAAACGTTTCTAAAGGTGTGTTTGTTGTCATTTCAAAGTTCCTCTTTAAAAACCCCGATGGTCATCCTCCCTGAAGTGATGAAACTGTAGTTAAAGGAGAACTATGGGGTCAGTGTTTTTCCCCATAGTTCTCCTTAGGGTAACGGGAGGACACAAACTAGCGTCCTCCCGTCACCCTAAGCTCAGTATAACACGAGCTACGGCTCGCGGTATACTGAGACGCCGGAGCGGATCCCGACTTAGATGACGGGATCCGCCCAGCTGCGTGACTGACAGCTGGCTCTGCCTATCTAGAGGCAGAGCCAGCTGTACCCGCCCCCCCCCCCATCCGTTCCGCCAGTCAGCGCTGGCAGATCGGAGCGGGGAATCCAGCCCCTCCCCTCTCTCTGCCTTGACAAGATCGAGAGGCGAGCGAACCCGGTATGTGTTCGCTCACCTCCCGATCTACTGAGCCGACCTGTGACAGTCTCATTGTCACAGGTCGGCTAGAACTATGAGGTGAAAGCTGTAAGATGGAAACTTTCACAAACCTCCAGTGTCTGCCCATGTGACCAATTTGTTGGCACTGGTAATGTGGTCTATGCATAGCAAAGTTCTGGGAGAGCCAATGGCCGGCTGTACTCGTCAGCACTGTCGCTGTATGGGTGTAGGGCATTTACATCAGTGTGATATGTGATTACAAGTTCAAACATTTTCATTTGTTTGAATGGGACAATATTGGCAAAGTATAATGATGGAGCCTGTATACAAGGTGACAGTGTGTGCCTTGTCAGATAGTGGAGGAGGAAGCAGTGCTGAATTAGTAAGTTGTATATATGGTGACAGTGTGTGCCTTGTCAGACAGTGGAGGAAGCTGTGCTGAATCAGTAAGTAGTATATATGGCATTGGTATGTACCTTGTCAGATAGTGGAGGAGTAAGCAGTGCTGGATCAGTAAGCTGTATATACGGCATTGGTGTGTACCTTGTCAGATAGTGGAGGAGGAAGCAGTGCTGGATCAGTAAGCTCTATATACGGCATTGGTGTGTACCTTGTCAGATAGTGGAGGAGGAAGCAGTACTGGATCAGTAAGCTGTATATATATTATCAGTCTGTGTCTGGTCAGATAGTGGAGGAGGAAGCAATGCTAGATCAGTAATCTGTATATATGGTAACAGCGTGTGCCTTATCAAATACCGGAGGAGGAAGCAGTGATGGATCAGTAAGCAGTATATATGGTAACAGCGTGTGCCTTATCAAATACCGGAGGAAGAAGCAGTGATGGATACGCAAGCTGTATACAAAGTGACAGTGTGTGCCCCTAGTCAGATAGTGGAGGAGGAAGCATTGCTGGATAAGCAAGCTGTATACAAAGTGACAGTGTGAGTCCCTAGAAAAATTGTGGAGGAGGAAGAAGTGCTGCATCAGTAAGCTATAACTTATAGCATGCATACTCCCTTGTAGGAGTTCCGACCGCTCACTCAGCTGTTTCTACCTCTCTAGCCCGGAGGCTTCTTCACCGAAAGGTATTCAAACTATCTCTGTACACGGCAGTAAACAGCTGTCACCCGGGCAAAACACAGACTTCCCACACATATAAAAAGTCTAGAGAAGGAAGCTTACCGGACACGGGATGCCTCCATCCGCATGGTCAATGCTGCCCCGGGAGAGCCTGACGTCTGGCTTCTGGAAACAAGCGAGAGAAAGCGTTACTAGCAGGCAAACGTTCCACACACAAAAGTCCAACAAACAACTTCCTGAGAAGCCAAGAAGTCTCTTGCATAATCCTCTCCCCTGCAAGTCTGAACGGTTAAGCAAGAAGGTAGTAAAGCCAGCGCCGAGGGCAGATCGCTTCTCCAAAGATGGCAAAAAACTAAAAAAATAAAAGTAATCCTACCATCCGGCCCACGCAGCACTTGAACACTTGCATGATGCTAAGGCAGCTCTGTGCGGATTCCCAGGGAAGCGTCTTGAGAGTAAACAGGAGACGAGGCGATGCATTAATTCCAGTTTCCTGCGAGAGGAAAGGTTTTGTGTGCGCGGCTTGGCTGCAGCCGTCAGAGTGGAAGTGGGGCCAATTACTGAATCTTTTTAGCATTGCACAAGTGAGGTTTTTTTTTTCCCCTCCTCTCTCTCTCTCTTCACTTTATTGCACAGGAAGCACTGGAGAGCGATGACTTGGCTACGTGCACAGATCATAAATTATCTCCTCCGCACAAGGTGCCCAAAAGAAAGCTCCTGCCTGAGACTTGTAAAGAAATGTCTGCCCTATCCTGCATGAGTCGCCTGTGGGAATTCACATGTCAGGTGATGAAGAGAGAAGAAGCCCCAAATTTAAAGTGGACCCAGTGGCGTCACAAGGGGGGTGCGAACCCGGTGACACCATTGGAGGGGTGACACCAAAATGACTGACAGTCATTTTGGTGCCACCCCCTCTAAAAAGTGGGGCACCTGGTCATTGACCGAGAGGCCAACAGTGTCAGGAGAGAGGAGGGGACCCGGCGGCATACCTCATCCCGCCGGGTGAACGTCCCCTCCTCTCTCTGCCGGCGTCCATCGCCAAGATGGCCGCCGGCAGGCGTTAATTAGATGATGGCGCATGCGCGATGACGTCAAGGCGGGGGGTCACCCGGTCTTCGCTCCAGGTGACACCCGGCCTCGGGGACGCCCCTGAGTGCAGCTACCGTTATAACATTCTGGCAGGTCATATCGCTATGCGTGGCAACGTTTCGGAAACCTGTCCGGTCCCTTCATCCGGTCCCTTCCCTTCATCCCTTCATCAACAAAGCTTCACTTTTGTTTGCCTGATGAAGGGACCGGACAGGTTCTGAAACGTTGCCACGCATGGTGATATGACCTGCAAGAATGAACGAAAGGATTTCGTTTTGAAGAAAACTTGGGAGTGCTGGTGACCCTTTTTTTCTATTTTGCAAGTATTTGGCGGCGTCATCCGCAGCCACTACAGCACCCCCCCCCCCCAGGTGGGACTCTCTATTTGACTCTACCGTTATGACACACACATGAATGAACAGGGCAGTGTTACCCCAAAACAATGATTTCTTTCTTGCCATGTATAATAAAACACTGTCCCTGGGGTCCCTTGCGTGACCTAAAACATCACCGAAAGATCACATAACTTCTGGCTACTGGGAGCATTGCGGGTGCTTCACGTCATTGCAAACTGCACACAACCTTCTGTTTACATATTATTTCTGGCAACAGGTAGCACTGTGGATGTTTCATGTCATTAAAGACTGCAAAGAACCTACTGCTTGCACGCGATTTTTGGCAACAGGTAGCACTGTAGCTGTTTCCTGTCATTACAGACGGCAAAGAAACGACGACTTACACATGATTTCTGGCAACTGGGAGCATTTTACATGTTTCGGGTCATTACAGACTGCAGACATCCTTCTGTTTACACATGATTTCTGGCAACGCGGAGCACTGTGAATGTTTCCTGTCATTACAGGCTAGGGGAATCTATTGTTTTCACATAGAGTCTGTTTGGAAACGCACATCGAACGCAAGTCATTAGACTCCCAGTTACTTCTATGGTGTAGTGGGGGATGATGGTTTTGAGGCTGCGTCTCCTAAGACGTAGAGGGTCCTATTGAGATGCATTTAAGCTGCAGTCAAAGCCGGTCACACGCAGCCTTCTGCTGGGTTTCCCGTTCGGCAACGTGTGTTTGAATGTAAAAGGCAGAGGGTGGAAACACCACCCATCTACACAAGCCCTAAAAAGACTATGGTGCCCCTTTAACACAGACAACCTGTAACTTTAGTTGTGGGAAACACAGAGGAGTGCAGACAGGAGTCTGTCACGCAACCTTTCAAATATGTCATAATGTCATAACAGAAGGACGTTTAGAGAACAGGAAATATGCTGCAAGGTTTCCAAGATCTTCTTTTATGTGGACAAAATACAGTCCTTGTCCCGTGGGTTCATGTGACTCTGACAGTCAATGGCTGATTGCTAACCACCCAGCCAACCCTTTGCAGCCCAGTTCATCCAAATTCTACATCATTTTTTATTTAAAGTGCATGGGTGTTGTCTGTATCCCTGCTGGGTCGATTCACCCTCTCAGTGTGTCCTGGTCACCGAGTGATAGGGATATTTTAAAGTTGTCACCAAAACAAGTCTTCTGTATAAAAGGATTACCTCTTACTTCCTGTTATGCCTTGATGATGGGAAAAAAAAATCTCCCCTAGCAGGCGAAAGACTGCAAAATATAAACTCACCGGGGTTCTAATCTGTCCCTACTCCAAACCAAAGAATTAAAATTAAACTTTTGGCTACAGTGCCCCTGACCTCAGAAGAATAAGAACCCTCCATTCCAGGAGCATCTGATCTCCCATGTCCCCTGGAGCATAGGACCTGTGCCTAGTCACTTCATGGAGTGTACATCTCATGTGTCCCCTGGAGCCCAGGACCTGTTTCCAGTCACTTCAGGGAGTGTTGATCTCCTGTGTCCCCTGAAACACAGGACCTGTGCCTGGTCACTGTGGGGAGTGTAGATCTCATGTGTTCCTGACAGCACAGGACCTGTGCCTAGTCACTTTAGAGAGTGTTGATCTCCTGTGTTCCTGGCAGCACAGGAACTTTGTCCTGTAGTGACACAACAGTTGAAGGGAGGAACTATGGAGCGTTGCTGGGGACCAGGAGATCGACACGGTCCCAAAGGCACATGTGCCCTGTCACTTCCAGAAGTGCCAATCTGCTGCAATGTGTGATGTGGGGGACCAGAAGATTGACACTCCCAGTAGTGTTGGCTTCTCATAGGACCTTTGGGGACAATCCACTTCATAAGAGGCAGGAAGCAGGAAAGGCATTTCCATTTCTCTGTACAGGGAGCTGCTTTATTTGAATTTAGAGAATGTTGACAGGGGTCGCCTTAATATATGACATATGATCGGTATATAGAAAGTAGAATAGGTGGCACCCTGCAGCAATTGGTTTGCATTTTGGGCGCGAACAAAGAAGGCGCCTTGCAGATCAAACTATTGGCAGCAGGTGTGTGCTATGCAATACAGGTATCAGACAAGTTAAAAAAACCACATGAACAGGGTATCTTTAGGGAAGTCTTTCTCAACCAGGGTGCTGTGGCACACCGGTGTGACCTCCAGGCCTCCTCAGGGGTGCCTCACAATTTTGTGGAAGTGGGACTGTGATGTGAAGGGGGAATGAAGACTGATGTGAAGGAAGCTTATGATGTAAAAGGTGAACTCTGATGTGAAAGGGAGGAACTCGGATATGAAAGTGGTGCTTCTGATGTAAAATGGGGGCTCCTAATGCAAAAGGTGACGCTGATGTGAAAGGGGGGAACTCTGAAATGAAAGAGGGGACTCTTGATGCAAAGGGAGGCTCCTAATGGGAAAGGGGGGGCTCCAGATGTGAAAGGGGGGCTCCTGATGTGAAAGGTGGGCTCCTGATGTGAAAGGGGGGCTCCTGATGCAAAGGGTGACACTGGGGGGAGATCTTGATTTAAAGGGGGCACTTCGATGTGAAAGGGGAACCCACTATTTTGTGTTTTTTTTGTGTGGCACCCCCCTTAAAATCTATGTCATTTTAGACTGGGGCATCTCAAGATTTTGCATACTTTTAAAGGGCGCTGTGACTAAAAATAGGTTGAGAAATGCTGCATTAGGGGACAGGGTCTCTTTAAAACATGAGGAAATGGACCAACTCAGGAACAGTTATTCAACTGCCCGCATGTGTAGATGACATGGGAGCTCTATAAAATGAAGACTGTTTTCATAGACTGGAGAGCAGGTTTACTAAAGTCATAAAGCGATTATGTTACTTCGCATATAAACAGTGCTTAGCAGAGTTTATTTTTGCTGAAAATATAAGATTACCAGAAATCTCTCCTCTTTCTCCAGCCAGCGCTGGTCCTCCTCCATCTCTTGCTGCTGTCTGATTAATCGCTCCTCCATTAGGTGGGTTGGAAGAACTTGGCCTAAACATCTCATGTCCATGGGGCCGGAATCCTGCAGACAGAGGATAAGATATATCAGCCTTCATAATAATGACCACAGATACATCTACCAGCCTGACCTCCAGCAGAATGAGGACTCTATGGACTAAACAACATAGCCTTACAGTGCCAGATAGTCAGGAAGATCCATGCACAAACTACTATGGCCCATGGAAAGGGGGAGCGGGACCAAAATACAAGGGCTGTCACTGATGACCTCCTTTTGCAAATGCTAGCTACCCACAGACATGGAAACAGCAAAAGAAAAGAATTCCTGAACTTGGTGTTTGTCCCGGGTCAGTGAATCAAAGTATGGAAGTTGATGGATCAGCAAGGTAGCCTGGCTTCTGCCATTTTCAGAAGGCAAAGTTGGCGGCAACAGCAGGGACCAGATATTCCTTGTTACAGGCGTTCTTTATAGGATAATTGGCCGACCACATTTGCTGCATTGGAAACTAAACCTCGCTGTCACTAGAGAGTAGCGCGGGGTAACAGGAGAGGGGCTCTGCACTGGGGAAAGATTATGCACCCCCCCACCATAAGAAAGCATCATGTGGAGACGGGATAGGGATTCTCCACTGGGGAAAGATGATGCTCACCACCATTAGGTGGCATCATGTGGAGGAGGGAGAGGGGCTGTGCATAGGGGAAATATGAACCCCACTGCTGTTAGAGGGCATCATGTTGAGGCGGGAGAGGGGCTCTGCATTGGGAAAAAAGTATGCCCACCACCATTAGAGGGCACCATGTGGAGACAGGAAAGGGGCTCTGCAATGGGGAAAGCTGATGCCCACCACCATTAGAGGGCACCATGTGGAGACAGGAGAGAGGCTCTGCAATGGGGAAAACTGATGCCCACCACCATTAGAGGGCACCATGTGGAGACAGGAGAGGGGCTCTGCAATGGGGAAAGCTGATGCCAAACACCATTAGAGGGCACCATAATTTTGTTCACAGATAGAAATCCTTCTCTCTGAACCATGTACTGCAGATGTATGTACTTATCTGGCACCCCTGCCCCAGGGTGTAGATATCCACTTATATTTCACTGTTCACATCACAACTAGAAGTCAGTATGCGCAGACCTCCGTGAAAGCATCACACTTTTAAGTACACTTTGGGAACCTGTACTGAAGTCTCCATGTTCACAGGGACTATATCAGGGGTTTGAAGTTTAACCACAGCTGGAGGAGTTAAATTTGGCTACCCCTGGACTATATCCTTGCTGAGAACCGGCTGGAGGCAGTGTATCCCTTTAATGTATTTTTTTTAATTGTCTGAGGAAAAAATAAACAGATAAAGCTTTCTGACTGGAATCTGGTCATGAAAGCACAAAATATACCCAGCCTTCAAAGTGTTATACAGATCCCGGCACGTGCCTGAATGTCAATAGAAGAAAGGCTAGACTCCGCTGGTACCTCGGGTAAAGACAACAAATTTGATCCATCCTTTTTTCCCCGGACATTGGTTGGACGGTGGTGTCTGGTGAAGTTTGACAGCAACTATAAATATTACATCAATTCCTGTGTCTATGTGATGTCGCTTACCTCCATATTGCCTTGCCACATGTCCGGGGTCCGAGGGCTCCAGGAGTCCAGGTGGTCTAGTACAGCAGCTTGGCCGGGGTAAATATTCCCAGGAATGGAGGGGATTCCATGGGACACGGAGTAACCAGTCACCTAGAGTGAAGCAGAATATTTTCCATGATCATTCAGAAAGCAAAAACTAGGAACCTGCTGGGGAACTATAATTCTCAGCATGCTCTGCTGAGAGCAACGGGCAAATCACAATCACCCAAAGCAGCTCATCCGAATACACCTTCCAATGAGCTGACAACAAAAAAAAGAAGTTTATGGACACACAGAAGAATACTAGAGATATAGATGTATCATAATAATGAACAAAAAACAAAATAAAATCTAAAACGTGCATGTAATGTACTTCCGGGTAAAAGGTAGCATAGTTTATACATTGGGAGTATTAACAATACAATGTTATACAGTAAGAATGCCAAAATGTAGTGTGTGTGTGTGTGTGTGTGTGTGTGTGTGTGTGTGTGTGTGTGTGTGTGTTTCTGGAGTATGAAGTTATGCGGTTGCATGCCGCCTGTACAGTATTAGGCTCAGTGTGCATGTGTGTACTCACGTCTAGCAGACACCTCCCCCCCCCAACTACTACACTTCGTGCTCAGGTTACATGCATGTTCAGGCCTGTTTGTACTCCATGCTGAGCTTATCGAACACATTCTATTGTAGTCTGAACGCCCTTCCTCTCCACAGTCCCCTAATTCCTTATAAAGTCCAGGCAGGTTCTGCTCGGGAATGATACATTTAAAGCCCACAGTAGGATTACTGCCCTATGGTCTAGTGTTATACATCTGTTGATCCTCACTTCCATATTCTGAAAACGTTTGTTTGCAAAATGCAGAAATGATAAATCTTTGATATAGAAATGATATTTGTAGATGTGACGTCATCCTAGAGACGTCAATGTCATGGCTACACTGGAGGAGGATCTGCATCTTGCCATTTCCTCCTGTTGTGTGGGACTACATGTCCCATAATTCCTGGCCACTGCTTCCTGCCCTCAAGCAGAATCGTGGGAGGAGGCAGGTAATAGAAAAGGTGGGGCTTAGCACAGTGACAATGTCATAATGACGCCCACAAGACTCTTCAAACCGTCTGGTTTACATCAGGGGAACAGCAGTGTGATCTGTAGGGGCGGAGAGGTGACTGGTCCCCATGAAGAGAACATGCAGGTACCATCTCCGGTCCCCAATACAGGGATTGATGATGACAGTGCAGGGACACCACGACTTTGGCAGAGGATATCTCCGTTTCTGCACAAACAGGTACATTATTGCCAGCGCACGGTTAGATTTTTCAGAGCTATAAACTAAAACTCCATCCCGGTAGTTAAAAACAAGTCCCATAATGCAATGCAAGCCTCAGACAGTCACAAGCATGACTCTCGGAGGCAGGGGCACGATGGGATTTGTTATTTCAGCACAGTTGGAGTGTCAAGGTTGCCAATCTGAGATTAAGCCTAATCTCCCCAATCTCTCAACTGTTAAATTCCAGGACCTCTAATGCACATTTAGGTCCCGGCACTGAATCCTGATGGACAGGGGAAGGGGGCTAATACAAAACTGGAAGGAACTTAAGGAGCTGTGTACAGCATATGCCAAGGACCGTTGGGCTTCCCTGGCTCTGACTGAAGACTAAACCTGATTATATATGTGAGGGTGATCTTAATGTGTAGAGCCATCTTAGGACAGGAACGTGGGGGCCTCAGTATTTCAGCACTCTTATTACCTCAGGCACTCTTTAGGCAAACTCAGGCCACATATGTATACACTGAGTAGCCAGATTATTATGACCGCCTGACGTTTGTAGGCAAATTAGCTATAATTTGGCGCTGAAGTTGCTAGAGGGCCAGACCATTATAAATAGGGAAGCAGGTTGTTTACCACGACAGTAGAAGTGATTTGTTTCTGAAGATACGGGGAAACAACGCGATTTAACAGCCTTTGAACGTGGGATGATTGTTGGCGCTCGGAGCCATGGAGCGAGTATCAATGATTCACACTGTAAGGCCCCATTCACACAGGCTAAGGAGGTCCAACAGCGGATTCCTGCGACGTGCACCTGAGCCAAGTCATCGCAGTGAATCACCAGCACACACAAGATGCACTTTCAATGCTTCATTTATTCTTTGCATTTATTAAAGAATGTCACATCATGTCATCAGAGGCTCACGTTTCGGGACCTCGCAGGGACACAAGTCACTATGTCGCTCTGATAAAGGGTCCCTGCGAGATGTGAGCCTCTGATGACATGATGTGACATTCTTTAATAAATGCATCAATGAAGCATTGAAAGTGCATCTTGTGTGTGCTGGTGATTCACTGCGATGACTTGGAGTTATGCACGGCGCCATCCCTGCGATCGCCACTATTATCGCAAGGTTGTAATACCGTAAGGAGTGCAGGTGGCTTATGGAAACGATAATGAATCTGAGTCACACCTGTAACATTATTTTATCACCTGCTCATCCTGCCAGTAGTACTTATTTTTACACTTCCCATAAGAAATCAAGCTGTCCAGCAAAAATTACAGTTTACAGGGGTTGGGGCAAACCATATAACACCACCGGGGTTCTTACAATGGTCAGCTTTTATTCATATGGCGTGACCATTTCTCCAAAGTTTGAGGCTTTAATTGTGTTTGTTGCTTACCAAGCCCACAGGGTGACAACACTGCTATTCAATTTCACTGCAGAACAAACAATGTTGTCACCCTATTTCACTGCAGAACAAACACTGTTGTCACCCTATTTCACTAAGTGGATAAATAATAAGGGCTATAAGGACAGGGTCAACAGCTATAGTACAGGGGTGGCACTGCTGTGTTAATGCTGGTGATAGACTTTTTTTATTTTGCCAATAGTTCTACAAATCTTTTATGAGTAGGTGGGGGCTAGAATATACACACATAGTATACAGATAAGTTACACAGGAAAGTTATGCTGGTACAACAGATGAACATTCGTTAACACAAATCACTAATCACAAGGCTACAGTCCTGATGACTCGCTTGCAGTGGTTCTAATGAAATCAGAAGTAATGGCCGTGTTAACAGCAGCAACAGATTGCCACCAATTTACAGTTAAAGGCCAATCACACCCAACCATTATTTTCTAGCCAGTATTGGATTGGATGGAGAGGGGGCAGAGCCACTGTCTAGTTTTTGTCGTGGTCTGTTGGGAAACATTTTAACAAAGCTTTCCTGTGTGGTCATCTGGGACACACTGGCAGAGGTTCAAACCCGTTCTCGCTCATCCTAAAACCTTCTTCCCTAAGTCCCCGTTCACACCATAGCGTAGCAGTGATGTCTGTTCCCGCATTTGCTGCACGCCCCCATTGATTGATTGAAAGTAGTTCTTGTAGCAAATTTTGTGACATGCGTTCTGCACATTTTCCCGGCTGCATTTGGGATGCCTTTAACTAGCTATGGCACTGCAAGCACGTTTGGCGTTTTTAATGAGTACCACGAATGTGTGTCAAAGTGTTTTTTTCTGTGATTGGTGCACGTTCACGAAACATGGTGGTGTGAACGGGGACTAAAGGTGCCCATACACTGCACGATTCTCGATCCGCGATCGTACGAGAATCGTGCAGTGTGAATGAAGACGTGCGACCGTTTCTACTGTACGGTCGCGCGTCTTTTGTCTAAGGAGCATGCTAAAAAACCAGCCGAAAATCTTACGATTTTCGTCTGGTTTGAACGATGCTCGGGAGACAAATGCCGAACGGGCCGTAGTGCGCACGCGCACACTGCCCGTTCAGCATTGCGATGATCGCAAGCACGATCTGCCTGTCCAAGATGGGCAGATGGCACGTTTTTTAAATTACTTTACAACCATCGCAAGACTTGCGATGGTTGTAAAGTGTATGGCCACCTTAACACAGGACAAAAAAAAAACCATACCAAGGGTACAGGTTCTCCTAATGCTATACCTATGCCATTTCAAGCAGCCATAGAAGCAACGGCTGTACAGTGCAGAGTGTGATCACTGAATGGGCCTGCACAGTTCCTGGAGATAGAATGAGAATAGAAATTGTACCTGGTAGTGGTTGGGTTGCACCATGTGCTGGGGGCTGGGGAAGAAGCCTTCGCTGGACCTCGGGCTGGGGTATCCTGGTCTGCTGGGCTGCAATCAGAAAACACAATCATTGAGGACAAGGAAAAAATGTTTTATTTTGCTGTAACCAGACACATGGCAGGGCCTTACCGATCACCCCTTCAGCTGTCCGCGGCAAATCCTCATCCTGTTACACTGAAGGGGCAGCAGTTGCATGGACAGCTGGCAAAACGGAGCAAGGAGGACACAGATGACACCGGGACACTCAGCGTGGTTGAGCAGAAGTGTCACAGTCAATAAACATCCCCTGAGCAGGGTCATTAATGGCCCATCAGCCACGCTCCCAGCTGTGAAAATTCTCTACCACTAGGTCAAAAGGCCGCTGCTGAGCCAACAACCGGCAAGGTGCAAGCCACAAGCGGAGACAGGAAAGTAAGAGGAAAACAATGCACAGTAAAGTCATGTGAAAGAACGAGTAAAAGGGAATTATAGATGTGCATAAAGGATCATTATAGGGAAAAACATTGGGGGGAATTTATCAAGGGAGTTGCTCCACTTTTCTTTAAGTGACAAATTTTCCACGTTATTTATTAATGCAGTCTTAGCCTAGATAATAAATGTCATTTTCATTAGACATGTTGGGGGGAATTTATCGTAGCAATTGCGAGTGTTTGAACTTGCACGGAATATATTTGCACCAGATTTAGGAAGCTAGTGTAATGTTGTTGATAAATGAGGTTTATTAGACTCCAGGAAAGAAGACTCCTAACTTCAGGCAAAAAGCTTCACTGTCGCATCTTGAAGAAGTGGTCATGGGGACTTCTTAAGTTGTGACTGTTTTCTTAGGTGATGCTCCAGTTTCTTACAGCCCCGGAACAAGTGCAGATGAAAACACGTGCAAAAAACATGCAGTTGAAAAATAGTGCAAGCTCTGAAGAAAACAGGGGCAAAAATCACGTGCAGTTGGAAAAGTAGTGTAAGCTCAGGTAAAAACAGTGGCACATGTTAAAAGAGAGATTTGCACATAAAAAAAATGATCTAAGAGGATAAAACTGTCGTAATTGCTTTGATAAATTCCCCCCATTGTATTCTGGTAGCTGTACGTTGATAATCCTGCCGGTATATGAAGTTTTTTTTCTTTCTTATGCCTTTATTTATGTTTTCTCCACATGTGTAAATCACTGACCCAGAATAAGTCATTCATACTGGATGCATCCTCCTTCCAGGTCTGCGACATTGCATTTTGCGGCCGAGGCCCAGGAGTGGAGACAAGATTTAGTATAACTGGAGAGGCGTGATGTACCGTGATCTCAAACCATCATGTGGGAGGAGAAGGTTTTACAAGGTTGCCAACCCCTCCTACAACAGAAAATGATGCCCCTCCAAGCCCGCCACCGGCTTCTGCCTTTTACAAAGCAGCACCATTGCATCTCTGGAATTCGTCCTAGCTCACCATGTGACACTCGGTACAGCCAAAAGCCATGTACTTTCAGCATTCTAAACAAGCTTTATTATTATTATTACATAGTATTTATATAGCACCAACAGTTTGCGCAGCACTTTACAATATAAGGAAGACATTACAATTACAATACAATTCAAGACAAGATGGTAAGGAGGGCCCTGCCCCTGAGGGCTTACAATCTGAAAGAGGAGAGGGAAATGATACATGAGGAGGTAGCTGTGTGGGGATGAATTATTTGAGAATGTGAAGGTACAGCGGTTAGGTTGACGTGGGATAGGCTTTCCTGAAGAGATGAGTGTTTAGGGAACGCCTAAAGGCAGTCAAGGTGGGAGATAGACGGACAGGTTGGGGTAAAGAGTTCCAGAGGATGGGATAGATTCTAGGGAAGTCCTGGAGGCGAGTATGGGAGAAGTAGATGGTCAGGATGAGACCCCGACTATGTCCTCCAACTGACACATTTTGACAAACTCCTGGGTAGGGTGAAATGCATCTGTGTGGGAGGACACAGGCAAGGAAGCACCTGGATCAATAAAGCTTGCTGAGAATGCTGATGTACCTGGTGTGCAGTTGTACCCCTTTACTGATACGCTCCTCACAACCATTCTACCCAACTACCTGGTAGGTGGAGTTGCATCAGCCTGGGCAAGGGCTTGTCTTGACTATTTGGATCAATAAAGCTTTTTGTGAATGCTGGTGTGCCTGGCGTGCAGTCATACCCCTTTACCAATTCCCTTCTCACTGCCTGGAGACTGGAACGCAGTCTACTACCATGATCCCAGAAAGGAAAGACAGTGAAGTGACAACACTGACCAAAACAGCGGAGGACAGCTCCACCACTGACTCTGGCCAAAAAGCCAACATTTGCATAATTCTTATACAGCAGGAAAGTCAGCAGAAACAAGGGGTACATCTGATACAGCTAATCATGATGTACAGAGAGTCAGCAGAAACAAGGGGTGCCTCTGACTCAGCTCATGCTGTATAGAGAGTCAGCAGAAACAAGGGGTGCCTCTGACAAAGCTCATCATGCTGTACAGAGAGTCAGCAGAAACAAGGGGTGCCTCAGACTCGGCTCATCATGCTCTATAGAGAGTCAGAAGAAACAAGGGGTGCCTCTGACACAGCTCATCATGATGTACAGAGAGTCAGAAGAAACAAGGGGTGCCTCTGACTCAGCTCATCATGCTCTATAGAGAGTCAGAACAAACAAAGGGTGCCTCTGACTCAGCTCATCATGCTCTATAGAGAGTCAGAAGAAACAAGGGGTGCCTCTGACTCAGCTCCTCATGCTGTATAGAGAGTCAGAAGAAACAAGGGGTGCCTCTGACTGCTGTATAGAGAGGTTCTATTTTTATCTTCAGTCTATGGCAAGGTTCTCTTCAGATTTTACTTTTGGGGCTTCCTAGGAATTTCTCACAAAAACAATCATTTTGCTATTAAAATTCCGGCAAGAAGGAAAGAATTAAAATACCTTGCGGCAGCCTGTAACCCTGCGTGACACATGTAGAACACGTGTGTGTGTGTGTGTAGTATAAATACAGATGCCTGGTCTGCATGTCACCATTGTGGTGTACAAGACAGGTGCCTTAAATCTTTGACATGGGTCCTTTCTACCTCTATGATCAATCCTTTATTTTCTCTGTAAAATGATCCCCGCAGCAGGCCGGCGCCTCTCCCAAAAATGGAGTCTTAGAGTTGGAAATGAAAAATTGTGAAATTGGGGGAAATGGAAATAAGTGACATTTTTCACCCAATTTCTTTATTGCCGTTGTTATCTCTTCAAGTGCATCCAAGACCAAATGTTTTCTTTTTCATGTTGGATAAAGCAGGAAATATTTAACATAGGTCTGCTTTTAATATTTTGCCATCTGTGTCCTGTTCATGAGATTTCACTTCCTGTTCTGCAGACACAACAGGAAGTAGGAAGAAATCTTTCCAAAGTAAGGTAAATCCTCTATAGGCCAGGTGTCACTGGAACAAGATTGGAAGAGAATAGTTCACACGGTGTTCTCATATCACATATAGGAGCCATTCTATACGTATTGATAAGAACCATGTCCCCATGGGAGAGATTTCTCTACTTCCTGTCCTATAGGCACAACAGGATGTAGGAAGAAAGCCCCTCTCACACAGTTGTCACCAGAGCAAGTGTCCCAACTAGAAGAGAGGAATTCAAGATGTGTTCTCATATCACATGCCCATATGGGAGCCATTCTGTACATATTGGTAAGAGCCATGTCCCTACTAGGGAAATTTCTCCTTACTTCCTGTCCCGAAGGCACACAACAGGAAGTAGTAAGAAAGTAGGGTAAATCCCCTTTCATCCAGCTTTCAGCAGACCAAGTGTTCCAAACTGTGTTCTCATACTACATGCCCATACGGGAGCCGTTCCGAACATATTGATAGGAACTGTCTCCCCACCGAAAAGATTTCTCTTTACTTCCTGTCTCACTGAAAAAGGTGGGCTTTCTCCACTCAATCCCGCCAATAAGAGAGGAAATGAAGGGAAATCTCAATGTGGAAACAACAAGCCGCAGTGATAGATCCAGCACAGGATCTACAATGAAAAAAAAGACTTGGCTGGAATTGGGCTTTAAACAATGGAGCTCTATTCCGCCACGCTGTGTTCCACTTGCTGTCAAATGCCAAACAGATGACATCACATGGGATGGATGGACTCATCCTGAGTGTATGCAATGTAACAGTGTAGATTATGTACGCTGCCAATAACAGTATTGATTGATCCCTCTAATAAATATCATTTTTAATGTATGAGAGCATTCTGCTTGCTTTGCATTCTCCAGTCTGGAGATTTACACAGCTCTGCCACGCAGCACAACACCTCAGGGGTGTGGAAATTTTGGAAAAAACTACTTGTCCAAGGACTAAAGCGGGGGCCGAATCTACTTGTCACTCATGACAATCTACTTGTCCTGATACAAAAAAAATAATTTGAACCAAAACCGTATTCAGCAGTGCTAAGAAGCGCTTCTCATTGGTCAGTGCCGTCAGGTGACTGCATTGACCAACGAGTGCTTGCAATTTGCGAGCGAAATTCAGACTACATGGAACAGGTACAGATAGTACACCCGTACTGGTGGACGGGAAGGACCGTTTGCTGAAAGGGAAGTATGGTGGGAGGGAGACTTCAGGGCTGAAAACAGTGCAAAAACCACTTGCCCGGAACTACATGTCCCGGGCGTCGGGCGATACGAATTCCACACCCCTGCACCTTGTTAGCACATGAGCACTGCAGCACAACTGACTGTCTCATTCTGCTACTTCTCCCTCTCCCAGTCTGAGCTCTCCTGTACAGGGGTTGCAAGAGTCTAATACCGGACCAAATTTAGGTATTTATACTGCTTGCATTAAAGAAAATACATTGAGACCCCGTTCACATATAGCGACATACCTTTGCAGCGGCCGGGATAGCGCGACTTTCGGGGCGACGTTCCAGCGACGGTAGCGCGACCTTCTCCGTCGGGCTCCATAGGAAAAAAGCAAAATCGCGCAAAATCCGCCGAAAAAAGGGTCCGGTAGAAGCGACATGCGACCGCGACGAGCGACATGGAGTTAAGACAGCTCCATTGAATAGCATTGGCCG